GTTCAGGCGTGTGTGGGAGTGGCTGGCTCACCTGGTGGGATGGTAGGCGAGAAGGGGTCTGATGGGCGGTAGGGCTGTGACCCCGGGTACCAGCAGGACTGCGCCCACTGGAGGTGTGGGTCCGGCGTGGAGAAGAGCTGGTGCGGCGGCGAGAAGGGGTGATGAACCGGGTGCGACTGCGGCTGCGGCGAGAAGGGATGGTGAACCGGGTGCGACTGCGGCTGTGGCTGCGTGACCCGGATGGCGCCTTGGGAGGAGCTGTGGTGGACGCTGCCGCTGCCACACCTTCAGCTTTGAGGGCGGCCTTGCGCTGAGCGATGCGCTTGTTGTAAGCCAGCTGGCGAACGGCTGTGTTGGCAGCCTGCTTGTCTTTACATGCTGCGTCGTCAGCACGATGCGGGCCACCGCAGCGGAGACAGGCCGGGTCCGCCGAGCAGGTGTGGCTGTCGTCGTCAGGTTTCAGCTGACCACATGTCGGACAGCGGGCATTGTAGGTGCAGACGTCAATCCGATGACCAATCTGCTGACAGCGGTGGCAATATTGGGCCTTGGGGCGATGGGGGCGGCAGCGGAAGATGCCACCGGCATAGCAGATTTCATGCGGGATGTGTGTGCCGTGAAAGGTGATGAGAGCCGTGGTCGTCCGGCCCATCATGCGTGCGGCGAGAATTTTAAATTCGGGGCGAAGCGTCGACATATGGCGCATGAGATATTCAGGGCTTGTCCCAGCGGGAATATTGCGAATAACTCCTTTGCAGGTATTGGACGGAATGGCAGGGTAGATGGTGACGCCACAGCGACGGTCTTCGAGATCGACGCTGGTTATTTCCTGTAGGGGCTGGGTTACGTGGGAGTCAAGGCAGAGCAGAAAAGCGAGGTTCTTGGATTTGTCCACGCGCGCCATGAACTTGCTGGCATCGGCAGGAGCAAGGGCGGCCTGGGTGCGGAGCGCGGTGTGGATCTGGCAGGGATCATGTTTGGTGAGGTTAAGGTGGTCGCTGGGGCGTAAAACAAGCGTGGCTTGTACCTGGGAGACAGCATGGTGCCAGCCGTCTTGACCTTGAACGAATTTGGGAGCCATGTCGAAGGAAGCGACGGGCCGGAAGGCCTTGCGGCCGGTCGGAGGGCGCGCCGGTGGAGGCGTATCCGCGCGATGCCTAAGTAGGCTTAGCGAGGCGCGCCTCGGTTGGATTCGGAAGCAGGCTGAGAAAAGTTCGAAAAACGGCCGGCAGCTCACCGAAAATTTTTCAGGGCATACCGGAGATGTTGTCGGAGCACGACACAAAATTGGGTAGGATTGGAAAAGTTCTAACTGGGTTAAACTCGCCGAAAAGGCCGGAGCCGATGCGGTGCCCGTCCGATCACTTCGGCGATGCGAGCGCCTCCTCGCCAACTGGTGAGACGGAGCATGTTCTTCGGCGCCCTACTAGATAATGCTTTGCATTTCGCATAGGTCTATCTCAGTGTTCGACAACATACTCGATAAAAGTATTTAAGTTAAGTGACTAAATACCTGCTTCATAAAGTATTTAAAATACCACTCAAGATACTTTCACTGTAAGGTATCCTGAGTAGAGGAAAAGTACTTAGAAATGTAATTCAATTACCTTTGAAAATACTTGCAGATTGCGTAATTTGTATTGACCTCAAGACAAACAGAGTTAAACAGTTGCGCAAATCTGGTTTACCAGAATGGTTTATTAGAGCGCAGCAGCACATAACGAAAAAAAAACATCGTATGGCTATTCAATGCAGTTCATGTATAATGAGCAGAACATCATTGATACATGTTAAAAAACATTTCTGGAGAAAAAAAAAGATGTCGCTTCAGTTATAGCGACATTGCTGAATATCATGTCCTGCGGTGAATCTTAGACGCATCGTTTAACTACAATTCATATTCCCTTTTGGGGAGTTGACTATAACCGAACTTCGGGTACGGAAATGAGGGAATGAATAACAAAGAGAGCCCATGTAAGAGCCACGGCACTAGTCGTACCTTCTTGATGTAGGTTCCGTTCAGAAAGGCACTCAACTTTGGGGGGATGCTTTGTTAGCATTTCGAGAGGTGCTTATTTTGTTGGGCTACAGGTAGGGTTCGCGAGAGCAATAAATGCTAGACGGACGACAAAATAAAAAAAAAACTCTACAGTATTTGTCAAATTTACAAGCAAAGAAATATGTCTTCTTTTTGTGTCCACTTTTCATTTTCTTCTATTTGTTACTTTCTTGACACTGAAGTATGCGCTGCTGTCGTGTATCGTTTCCCGTTCTGCGTTCCGCCTCAGTGTGGTAATTTTTACTTCCGTAAAACAACCCCTTTTGTTTGAGGATCTTTTGGGAAAAAACTCTAGAAACAAAAGGTGCCTTTGGGAAGGCGAGGGGAAAAACTTAATTGTACAAACTTTGGTGTGAAATATGGGTCGCAAGCAGCACAAAACCGATGTTTTTACAAGCTCAAGCTAAGCCACAGTAACTTATCCGAGCTAGCAACAGGATGTGGTTGCTAGAAAGATTGTTCACGTTTGCTCGTCCACGTCCACGCCACTTCATACCGAAAAACCCAGAAAATGTCGGAATTTGAAAAATGTATTTGAGATAATCAGGACAAGATACTCACAAATGTAATTAAAGTACAGTACCAAATACCCTCGATCAAAATTATAAACAAGAAACCTATATACTTCAAATATTATTTGGAAAAAAGTATCTTGAATAGAGTATTTGAGATAGGCACGGGTGGTTCTCATTTGAACCCGTTCGCATTTCTACCTTCTCGTTTTTACCTTCTCATTTCAACCCAGCGCAAAACAACTTTCGCGTTTCTCCCTTTCTCATTTAAACCGTTCTCAAAACATACTTTCGGGTTTTGACCCTTCTCAAAACGACTTTTCTCATTTTAACCTTTCTCATTTCAAATTTTCTCAAAACATACTTTTTAATTTTGACCATTGTCAGAAAGACTTTTCTCATTTTAACCTCTCTCATTTCAAACCCAAATTAATCCAGCATCATGATCTCGCAATCTTTCTGCGGTATTTATGGCGAATTCGGGTAATTAATTGCCTTCGAGCCCTTGCCTGTGGCACCGGTGACCAAAAACGCGCCAGCGGCGCATCACGTGACCCTCTCCACCCGAATGTAAAGCACTATGGACTGGCGTTTTTATTTGACTGGGTCGTGAGTGAGCTCTGTTAACTTCTTCTTCGGTCATTCTATGGTACCATGAGAGCGCTGCATACGCCAACAACATAAATTACTACTCTTTAAGATGTGTGTAAACAGAAGCGGCTTCACAAAACTTTTCAAAATATTGGCATTACCACAGTCCGTACAGCTGACAGAATATTAAAATATAAAATCAATGAAAGGGCAGATGCATAAATCAGTGTGGTGCTGCCCGCACGCGCGTCAAATTTCAATAAACTTCGTTTGGATTTTAGATTAACTGTTGCCACGGAGGCTTGCCAGCGTCGCTTTCCATATTCTGCTTATTGTTTTTAGTAGATCGTTCCCATGACTCCGATAACGATACCCGATACTCCGCCACCGCCTCCCTTACGCATGTATAGTATCGTTATCGGGGCTATCGGGGGTATCGGAACGATCTACTAAAACTCTCTAGTACCCTTTTCTGGAATTCTCAGTCTTCTCATTGCACCCACCCTTCTTGAAATTGTAATGCGTGTTCAAGTTTCAAACTGCATCACTATGCATACTTTTTTTCAGCGGTGTAATAACTTGTTATTACAGAGTTGTAAAATAAAGTGATGTATGATGCAGTCCGTGTATCAGAGCAAACATACCTTGCTCAGGCTGGATATATTCTTCCAAAAATGTTGACTTCCTTTGAAACATAAATTATCTTTCTCTTCGTTGTTTTTGCTAGTTTGTCTCAGAGCACAAAAAGGTGCCTGTCTCGATGGCTTCGTTTGCCACTCGAACCCGCTATTTGCCGCCTCAGCGAGCATTGTTTCGTTTGGTTCCCTATCCCGATTCGGATGTGACAATACCGGATACAGTCTGGCAGACAAGCTGCCCGACCTCTTGGAGCTCGGGAAAACTTCTGCTGGTGAATTGCCGGTACACGCCTGAGAAGCGCAACCCGAAAAGTTTGCACCCGCCAGCCTTTGACCACGCGAACGCCCTTGCCGAAGATATGGAAAAACTTTTTTTAGGGAAAATGACCACCCGAATTGGCCATTACAAGCAATAACACACGACTAGCACAATGATCCATTCGCTCCACACGACATCTTAACGACATACAGCGACAGAAGAAAAATGAAGTACCGAATCTGCGCTAGCACTTATGAAACCATGTCACCATGTGACCATGTAGCTACGTCAACAGACTCGGGGTGGCACGCAGGCATAAGGAAAATTGTTTCACGTGCTATGCAAGAGATGGTGCCGCTTCGCTTCATCTTCAACCTTCCTCCTTCAACGGTTTTTCCTTCTTTCTATACCTCACTACGGTGTTCAAATGACAACGGGTTCAAATGAGAAAGGGCCGAAACGCGAAAGGTTAAAACGCGAAGGGCGTTTTGCGAATGGGTTCAGACGAGAATGGTTCAAATGAGATGGGTTCAAATGAGACGGGTATAGATAAAAAAGGGTCGAAACGCGAAAGGTTAAAACGAGAAGGGCGTTTTGCGAATGGGTTCAAACGAGAAGGGTTCAAATAAGAATGGGTTGTTTCGAGATACACCCATAGGCACAAGTCTGGCTATTTCTCCAAAATTCATAAAAATATAGGCTCTTCACTATCGGAATGACCGTTTAATATAAACCAAAGAATTGAAAAAATCGCTCCTACAAACCGCATTCAAAGATAAAGTTAGGTGCCAATTTTTTTCCTTTAAATTGTTTTTTCTGCCAGATTGCATGGGGTGAAAAGTAACGCGTGTTTCATGTGGTATTCACGTCAGGTATTCATCTAAATGATAGTTGGGGAAAATGCTAAAATCGTTGCACCGCCCTTTCAAATGCACTTGCAGATGCCAAGCGACTCATTGGGCGTCGTTTCGACGATCCCGCGCTCCAAAATGACATAAAGCAGTGGCCCTTCAAGGTAATCAACGACCAGAACAAGCCCAAAATTGAGGTGACTTACAAGAACGAGACCAAGACCTTTTTTCCCGAAGAGATCTCCTCCATGGTGCTAAACAAGATGAAGGAGACGGCCGAATCTTACCTCGGCGGCCCGATCTCGGCTGCGGTCGTCACGGTGCCGGCCTACTTCAACGACTCGCAGCGACAGGCGACCAAGGACGCCGGGGTGATCGCAGGTCTCAACGTCCTGCGCATCATCAACGAACCAACGGCCGCCGCCATCGCCTATGGTCTCGACAAGGTGAGCGGTTGTTGTTTTCCCCTTCTGCCTTACTTAGGAGGGTGTACTTCCGCGAGTAATATGAAAGGGAACACAGGAGTGCCTGACGAATAGCCTGGAACCATACTTGTGGTGACACGTCGTACTGACTTTCGGAAACAAGGTGGAGATAGGGGTGCAGCCCATTCCGTTGCCGGCATCCTCTCCACTACTGACTGCCATCTTGCTTCGCCCGCCACTATAAACTCTAAGAAAAAAGTTGGCCTCAAGGGGCTAACAGCAGCATTTGGTCCTCTGAACTTCCAGTTTTCCCCGTAAGGACCATCTGGTTCAGGCTAGGTACCGTGCGCAAAAGCTGGGGACTAACTGCGCTCGACTGGGACTAACCGATAGGCGTGAGCGAGCAAAAGCACCCATTAGTCCTCCTCAAACAGGGTGCATCTGTACGATTTAGTCCCCAAAGGCAAACGAATTTTTCGCCAGGAGGACGGATGATATTTCGCTTGTCTTGGGGATCGGCGAGACTCAGCCCAGCACGGCTGAAAGTGTCGACAAAATTCGGACGAAACTGGCGAATTTGTTTAATGTGCCACGAACGTTCAGACATTACACGGTAGAGCTTCGCGCGTTGTGCGAATGCGAGTTAACGAATGTGTTGACTCTACTTCACCCAACTATCTCATCAAAACTGATCTGTTGACATTTCACAAGTCCCGTTCACGGAATTTGCCTTCGCGTAAAAAATGAGCATTTATCCAAACGCAACACCTCCAAATACTAACACTTTTTTTTTCTTAAATGAAACTTAAGAGTTTGTAGAAGACGCGCTTTCAACACCGGAGTCTCGCAGTCAGAATAGGGAGTTTTCGTAGACCGCGCTGCCCCCTCCGCTAAGCGTTCCGCAACCAAGAAGTTGCTACTGTGCCTGCGCGCCGATTGCCTTGACAGCGGAGTTCCTGCTATTGTAGCAAGTTGCAGAGGTCCTTGCGGGACGGCGAAAACAATCTACAAAAACTCCCTAATAAATGGTCGCTCCAATCGCTAAAACTGAGTTACTAAGAACAGGTCGAGCCTCGTTTCTGCGTCTCCCCGTAACCAACCTTTCTTGGTAGTCGAATGTCGAACTCAAGATCCGCAACGGCACACTTGATGCACGGCACGTTCCACTCAAAAAGCACATTCAGGGGCAGTATCCAGACGCTTTCGTGCCATCGTCGCTGATGTTTCAGATAACATTCCAGATGAACAGCGAAGAACAAACCGCGCCCGGACGTCATTCATGGCAACACCCTGCTAATACAAAACAAATGCGAACTAAAAAAAAAAAAAAGAAAGGCCCCCGAGGAAACTGAAAAGAGAAAGAAAGACAGAGAGAAAAAAAAGTGCTTGCTTGTACGTCACTTGACCGGCGTCTTGAAAATGGTGACCCTCGACCTTCTCCCGTCCTTCGGGCATTGGTGTGTCCGTCTGTCGTGTGTCTTAAAAGGGGCACAAGAGATTTTCGGGGAAAAAAGATTTCCCTTTCCCCTCCCACCAACCCCCTGCCCCGCACTCCTCGCTCGCGCGGGGGTAGGCCAGATGGGGCAGAGAGGGTCCGTCGGGAAAATGGGAAGGGGTCTTTGTTTGAAAAGAACCCTTTTTTAGTCATTTTGTTCTTAGCCCGATACTGAGGCAGGAAAAGAGGAAAGTTTCGAAGTAGAAGAAAAATGAACAGTCGAAGACACGTCTCTAACACAGCTAAAGACAAGTTTATTTGGTCACCTTCTTATATACACTCCACAAACTTCACCACAGCACCTTCCCGATCTCGAAAGCCAAAAGATAACAAAGGTCTCACATCTTTCCACCACAATTGTCAAACGACCTTGACGTTTTCCACAAAGCAATGAACAATAGCTCCCCTCATCCGGAAGACACTTGTCTGAATCCTTCGCGTTAACAGTACACTCTCTCCCTCTACTCTCCGACCCATAATCACAAAGCATCCCGGTAACAGAAGATATCAATCCACGTGATACACAAAGGAAGAAACCACTTACACCTTCACATTCAACAAACACTTCACAAAACTTTCAAATCCGCAAGAATGATTTTGCGCTGCTGCTAAGCTGTAACGACACCTGACTAATGCAGTTGCCCATTGATTTCATTCTTATTGTTTCTTTTACAACCCTTTTGATGTCGTTTAACTCCCTGTGTATTATCTCTGTTTCAGACCAGTGGGGTATACAATTATTACATTCTTGAACATGTTTCGCTATTTCCGAATTGGCAACGTTGTTTTTGACATTCCTTTTGTGTTCAGTCAATCTCTCATTTATACACCTTGACGTCTGCCCCACATATTTAAAGCCACATTCCAGGGGGATTTCATATACCACTCCATTACCACACGGAATAGACTTTTCTCGGTGCGTTTTTGCGCATTCCCTTACACTTTTGTGGAAGGGTGTGAGCTTACTCAACTTATAATCCGAACTAAAAACCAGATCTACATTGAACTTCTTGGCACAAGCCTTTAAGTTGTGAGAAATTTTGTGATAAAATGGAATTACAATAGTTCTATTTTTTGGCCTTTGCTTTGGTTCTCCTGTACATTTGTTTGCGAATTTTACGGATAACTGCTTCCTTACTAATTCATCCTCATAACCAGCACCGTTTAGCCTTCTCCACTGTCTTTCTACCGATTCATCCAAGAAATGTGTACATGATCTTTCCATTGCATTTGTGATTAAAGACTTTACAATACCCGCTTTCACTGTTTTTGAATGGCAACTCTTTTTTGACAGCAGCGGTTTTGCGTTTTCTTTTCCATATTCCCAACATAGCCCTTTTTCATTGTGAATCATAAGTTCTAAGAACTGCAGTCTACCATTCGTAGGTCGTTCGACCGTAAACTTCAGTTCCGGGGCTGCCGATCTGATCAATGCTTCCAGAGTGTCAGATAATCCCTCCCGAAAAGAACAGATCAAAATGTCATCGACATATCTTTTCACAAAACAGGACTCCGACGTCATCTCCTGCAATCTATCAGATACAATACAATCCAAAGAATTAAGGTAAATTTCCGCTAACGCCGGTGCGACACTCGACCCAATGCATACTCCCTCTTTCTGTAAATACTTTTTCCCTTCATACTCTACTATCGTTGACTGCAAGTAATAATCAAGAATGGCAAGAAAACTGTCCACCGAAATGCCTGACCGCGATTGGAACCTTACCAAATTAATTTCAAGCACCCCTTTTACCCTTTCCATCAGCCGGCTCTTCTCTAATGAGTAATAAAGATCCTTGATGTCCATTGACAACACATCTCCTTCCTTTCCATGATGATCATCGAGTATTGTGATCAACTCACTCGAATTTGTCAGTGACAAAGACTTATCTAGAATTGCATGTTTTAAACCTTTTTGAAGAAACACGGAGACTACCTTCTGCCAAGTCCCATTCTCATTGATCACTACTCTAAGTGGAATCTCCGGTTTATGATCCTTAAGGAAGAATTTTACGCTCAACGCTGAGTTCGACAAATTTAACATAGTCTTTGCTACATCTTCAAATTCGTCTTCTTCTAAAATGGAACCTATATTTTTCTTTAACTTTCCTATGTTTCCACTCCATTCATGAAACAAGGATTCCATCGCGTCGCCTGTTTTCGTTTGAAATGACGATTTTGAAAGAACCGCGAATCTACCGGACTTATCCGTTTGTAGCAATTGTAATGAACGATCCTCTAACTCCTTTCTAACCGAGTTGACGACACGAAAATTCCTTTTCTCATTTGGGTATTCATTCCCCATTACGTTTTCCATTCTGCCAACAGCCTGTTCAATAAACGCCGCTTTTTCTTCATGCCTGACTCCTCTCGCAACCGACTGTATGGATGAAAATACATCCACCCTTGACGGTTTTACATCAATACAAAACTTCGGCCCCTTTTCCAAGACTTCTTGCGTCTTCCCTGACAACATTACGCCACCCGGGTTGATAACAGAAGATCCACACATCCGATCGAAAAAACTATAAAACCGTGACTCTCTAGCCCTTCCCTCCTGAGATCTCATCTTAATACTATCCAGAACATGCTTTCGTTTGACATACCACATTCGGTCGAAAATTGTCCTCCTGATACTGTTCCAAAGGATGTAGTCTCTGTGCCGCTTGAAATCACCTCCCACCAGGAGCTTTCAAAGTCTTTCGGAAGCGCTGCGTATTTCTTTGATCCGGTGACTTGAGGCTTCTCTGTACGCCTTGAGGATCCTTTTCTTTCCGCTCCAATGGCCCCCCGATGCCGACAGGTGTTTGAATGCAGAAGGGTCCACGAATCTTTTTCGAAGGCAGATGCCGAAATATGCAACCTCGGCCTCCAGCTCCGCCAGTCGACGTCCCAGCCGGTCCAGTACTGCTACCGCTTGACAAATCCAGGCGGTCGGTGTCGTTGATGATGTGGTTGCACATGAGAAGGGGATCAAGCCTGCTTCGGGTATAATCAATGATAATGTAGTGATTGCGCAGGCGAGCTGGTGGATGTTAACCATTTTGTTCTTAGCCCGAGACTGAGGCAGGAAAAGAGGAAAGTTTCGAAGTAGAAGAAAAATGAACAGTCGAAGACACGTCTCTAACACAGCTAAAGACAAGTTTATTTGGTCACCTTCTTATATACACTCCACAAGATGTGAGACCTTTGTTATCTTTGGCTTTCGAGATCGGGAAGGTGCTGTGGTGAAGTTTGTGGAGTGTACATAAGAAGGTGACCAAATAAACTTGTCTTTAGCTGTGTTAGAGACGTGTCTTCGACTGCTCATTTTTCTTCTACTTCGAAACTTTCCTCTTTTCCTGCCTCAGTCTCGGGCTAAGAACAAAATGGTTAACATCCACCAGCTCGCCTGCGCAATCACTACAGTATCTTTTTTTAGTATAGCCTTCGTCAAGACTTAGAAGCTGGTCGTCTCCGATCATTGCGGGATCCGGTTTGGATTCGCGGTGCTGCAACACTGCACTTGATCTGTTCTGAAGTCACA